CAACCAAGCTTCGAAGCGACTGCCACCCTCTTCGGCACGGTTCACAGATCGTCAAACCTGTCTCTCGTACCAAAAAGTGCTGGCAGCGCTCGCACGTTGGGAGGGGGGTTTTAGGTCCCCCTCCCATCCACACCCTTTCTGAGCCCGATGCTACGGTGAAAAAGAACTGACTCTGTGCTTAAATATGGGGACATTAAGCCATTCGCTCATGATGCTACATTCATTGTGGGCAAAGAGAGATTTACCTGATAATATTTATCATTGGTGTTGCACATTGATAGTGGGCAAACGAAGAGCTGTTATTTGTTGTCATTGACAATCAAACAAATTGCGTTTTGCCTAGTTCTCAGAGCAGTTTTTGAAATGTTGCACGGTAGTTACAGTGTTTTCTAAGGGTTTTGAGCCAGTGTGTGCTCTCCCAAGCGCACCCACCCTCTATATATATATATATATATATAGCTTTGTGGTTGCAAAAGAACTGATCTCAAATCTGGCTGCTCATTTGAACAAGCCACTGATAGATATGGGTGGGGCAAATGGAATACAAACAAAAGTTGTGCAATGTTTCCCCTTGACTTGAGCAAATGATGGTGGATAAATGGCCAAAAGAGGTTAGTCATGTATTTTGATGACATGCTAATTATGAGAGCTAGATCAGCATCATTCCTGGAGAATATATTATTATATATATTAATTTGTATGTGTATATATATATATGGATAGAATCCGGATATGGTAGGGGAAAATGTGTTTGCAAACCTGGTGGCTTTTCACGGGAACATGCAATGGAACCCATTTGGCTTTGAGTCGCATGCTTTCAAGAAACATCAAATAAATAACATCATTTGCTTGTTGCGAATGGGGGCATGCCTACTCCAGGATGATTTTAGATGTGAATCACGACAAATCATGATCATTGGCTGGTGTCAAAAAACCAACTTACTTAAACAAACCATGCAAAACAAATGTCGCACACGTTAAACCATGGTGCACACACCTGAACAACATGTTAAACATCGCGGGCATTCTCTATGCACTTCGCAGAAGGGCCTCGAGTTAGCTTCCGCTCCGAAACAGCCTCTTGCCAGGCGAGGACATTCGGGTCAACAGGAGGACGGCCCGGATTCATCCCCCAAAACGCTGCGGAAAAAGACCAGGACCAAGTTTTCGGTCAACATCCGAGCTAAACTGTTTCTTTCTTCTCACTATTGCACACCACCTGTCTTGTTTGGGGACGGCCAGGTCGAGAGCTCGCGCTCGCACTGCGGTCGCGCCGCCCCGAAGGTGGTGCGGTCGACCCGGTTCCAAGGTGCGATCCAGTCTTGGCCTAGGAGGCCGCAGCCGATGGAGGCATAGGTCTTCAAGGCACCCGCACGGAAGTGTGCTTGACACTTCCTCAGGTTGCGTGTTTTCGGGGACGGCGGGTGGTGCAAAATGGTTTTCACACCCTGTGGCCTGAGCTAAATGATTTGACAAAAAGGACAACAATGGAAAGGCTATCAGGCCTTGTTGCAAGATGTTGCAAGAAAAGTCCTGCCAGTCGAATTGACCTTGATTTACCCTATATACCTGGATCCTCCTTTGGGCGGAAAAAAGTGCCGGACCTCAATCCGGCAAATTTTTCCGCCGGATTCCGAAAAAAACGCCGGAGACCTGAAAAAACATCCGGATCCAAGATTCTGAAAAGCAGAGATGATAAAAGGCTGGATCATACACAAGCAAACTGCCTTTGCGCCACAAGTAGTTTTTTCTGGAACACACTCATTCCACAACCCAGCACTGGAGCCTTCCCGTTCCCATTGCCCTCGCCCATCTTCCGAATGGCCTAAGAGCAGAACCATCACAAAATATAAGCAAACTTGTGCCCAAGCAAAGACTTCCAAGAAGAAACCAAGGAGTATGTGGCAAGGAACCCCTATTTCTCTGCACCCGTGTCTCTAATTGTTTTTTACAAAGTGGCTCTCCATGATTCTTATATGGTTTTAGATTGTTTTTTATTGCTTGCCTCAGGACGGCCCCGCCAATAAAGTAGCAGCACTCATGGTTCCTGTCGAAACTCTTGGTTGAAAAACTTTTCAAAATTCAAAAGACTGAGTCCAACAAAATACGCCGGAGTTACGGGAAATTACGCCGGAGTTACGGGAAATTACGCCGGAGTTACGGGAAAAAACGCCGGAGTTACGACGTGCAATTTTTCTTAGCAACTCTCTGCAAAACATTGAGATTCTGAACAACACATGTTTCCACAGCCCAAAACTTGTCCGGCAGGCTCTGCAAACCTGCGCAACTAGAACTAATTATATCCCAGCGCCCCGACATCCTGAAACAATGGGAGTACATCTTTGCCTATGTTCTTTCAGCTTAGGTACTCCCACTTGGGTCTTTCAACACGTGCATCGCACTGTACCAATTTCATCCGATTTCACTTAGAAGATCACCTAAACGGATCTGATTGATCCAGTGTGAACCATGCTGAAACCGGTGGAATGAGAAAACAGCGGAACAGGCAAATGAGCACACTTTGCAAGCAAATCATTACCTTCAAAGAAATGCAAGCCACAAAGAATGCAAAGCCTTGAGAATCCACATTTCAAGTGACTTGGAAAAACCGCCGGACCAAATCCAGAAAAACGCCGGAGTTGGAAGTCCGGCGCCGGACCCTGTAAAAGTGCCGGACTGAAGGTCTAGGTATACTGAGCTTATTGTACTTTACGGTCGTAAATTGTGGCTTTTCTGTTGCAACAAGCTCTAGCTGGCCGAAGCTGATGAAGTGTCGTCACGCTGCGACGTTCGTTCGCTGTCACCGTGCGAAGCCCGTTCGGTCCTGTCCGTTCGGTGGTGGACCATGGAACATGTGAATGGCATGCGTGCGTCTTTCACTTTTGAAGTCACAGAACGGTCTTCCCAAGTCTTCTATCGCATCCAAGACTATTGACCTGGACCAAGCGGCAGCAAAAGAACACCACAACTACATGTGTTCAAATATGTTTAAATCCATTTAGCTAGAGACCTCATAGTTGGATGGCTTTTGAACTTGTGTATTATCAATTATAAGCATGCATAAACACATACACACACATCTAGCACCCCCAAGCGTACGACGACGACGCTCCACCGCGATCTCTCCAAGGCTCTCAAGGATGGTCTGCTCGACCGCTTGACGGACCTCAGGCCTCTTCGGGCGATAGGTCGGGCAAGAGGGGTCACCACACTCGCCCAGCGCACACCTCAACGAGTGGAGACAAAACCAACAGTGAACACACAGAGAGAGAGAGAGAGAGAGACAGAGGGTCGGCCGAAATTGAAGCTTTGGCCATGTGATGTGTGAAACGCATGCTGTTTCCAATGAGGTGGACGTTCAGAAGAAATGCTGGATGTCTTTGGAGAAGCCGAGAAAAAAATTGGTCCTGGATGAACCGCGTGTGATCTCACGACAAGTGACACAGGGTTGCGCTGGCCATTGGGCAGAGTCGCCGGAAAGTTCATCTGCCACATGGCGAAATTGTTCCTCCAAAGGGACATCCCGGTCGAGTGCTTCGGACAGAGTCTCCGAGTCCATCTCCAAGCGTTTCAACGGTTCGATGTTGGTAAGAGGTACCCTGCTGCAATGACTCGTAACGGATCACCTCGATCTCCGGCCAAAAGAGACATGAACGTTCACAGTGTTCCAATCGCTTTCTCCATCACCTTCAGCACCATGTGCAGCTGCCGACTGTGGAGGTTGAAAACTGATTGGCTGCCCTCACTATTGAACCTATATACCTAATATCCTTTCTTACATGCACTCGAAAGTCTCTCACAGGCCCCCCCCGCACTGAGGCCATCGGTTCTTGTTCCTCCCAGTCACCTTCTCCATCCCCAGATCTGTCCTCTCCGGCTGCCGGCGGATCGCCGCCCGCACCTCGCGCCGCAGCTGGGCGCCCACGGGCGGGCGCTGGAAGTCGGGCCACCAGCGGCGGCAGGTGCGGGGCAAGTCCTGCGCGTCCTGCGCCGCGGTGACGGTGACGGTGGTCAGCTTTCAGCGCATTTCCCCATGGGAATCACAGACCCTCCACCAAAAAAGGGCATGTACAAAAGCTCTTGGAATCAGCGCCATGAAAAAAAGAAAAAAACCTTACATGATGAGAATCAAACTGTCCCCCAAAAACCTAGGCGGATTCCCAGCAATAGGTAGGGTTGTGTGTGTGTGTGTGTCTGTGTGCGTATGTGTTTTTTCTCATTGGCTGCCGCCCTTATGCCACTCCTGTACCTCCTCGGATGGCGCATCTCGCAGTCGCACGTGCGACTGCGCACGTGGCGCCATCGCCGGGGCAAGAGGCAAAGGTGATGTCAAAAATGGGATGTTGAGGGAGTGAAGCCCCGGTGCTCCGAACATCCGCAGATCTGGCTTCTGTGACGTGTGGCATTTTGGAACTAGAAGTGGCTCCGAAATGTGTCGGCTCAGCTCGCCCGAGCCGTGTCAAGCAGCTCAATGCAGCTCATGCTCACAGGAAGTCTGTGCCAGCTACCTGACACCACTTGGCAATGCCAGTCATGCGCATCAACCAACCAATTATGGATGAGCATTGGTGCTGTCCTGACCTGAAAACCTTGCTGAATTACAGTGCACGTGTTTGAGCCGAACAAAACGACAGGAGATCTGGACATCGAAGGGTCCCAAAGCAGATTGAACCGACCCAGGTCTGTCTGTAAGCTCAGTGTCCTCATGCGCAGGTCAATTGTTTTGAGTTCAATGTACGGGCGCTTTGTGGTGACCATAAGTCAAACATGGAGCTTGGCCTCATACTCGATCAGTTTTAGGACAGCAACTGCCTTTTCGATCCCAGGAGTCACGAAATCATCCCGTATACCATAGCAACTTGATGTTTTCAGTGGATCATTGATGGCATTCCGCATTCCTGGCTTGCACACAGTATCCTTCCCTTGCGGGTAACTTCTCCGACGGTCCATCCCGGGCTTGCCGCCTCCGACCCGCCCCGAAGCAACGACACACGCGGAGCCTGCCAGATTCAGCACCGTGACACCTACGACCTCTTCCTCTCCCACTGGGTGTGCCATGGCGCGAGGACAAAGCTCCAAAGCGAAGCCCGGTTCTTGTGCATTCAAGAACAGCAACGGTCGTAGAAATGGGATACTACGTCAAGACTTGGAAATAAACAACTAGATCCTCCCAGATTCGATGCATGGTAGGACTTTGCTACATATATATACTCCCATGTTGTCATGATCAAGAGTTTGAGGGCTTCAACATGCTGAGGGGAATGGCCCCAACAAAACAAACATGTGTTAAAGGTCAAGGTCCCGATTCAACAACCTTGTGAAGCAAGTTCGCCACAATCATTCCTGTCAGCTCAAACTGGCTACCACAAGTAATGCCTGTATCATCCTATATATATACTATACTATAATTTCAAACCAGGTTAAGAGAAAGGACTCCACCTATAAGCTTTGCACATGAGGGTGTTCCTTTAGCTTCTCTTGGTGGGCTGCACCAGCCTCATCACTCAAGCTACAGCAAGCTTCTTTAATTCGCTCTCAGCAACCTTCCAAAAACATCCAAAAACCTCCACATCACGTCTATGATGCCAGGAATTAAGGAAGGAAGTAGAGTATTCATGGCATACCAACCATCCGGATATGATCCAGATCTTTTGCATCCTCTGTCGTGGCCGGCTGTTTCTCTGTCGTATGGCTTCCGGGCAGAACATGGGACTCATAGGACCCGCCAGCACAAGCCAGTCTTTCATTAGATGTGGCAGGGGTTCCGACCAAAACCCAACATGCAACCAGCGTGGCCATGCAACACCCAAAGCTTGGGGGCTCGACCTGCTACACCCCTGCAGTGCCAGAAATCAGTCCCGCAAACCTCCCTCTTGCGCACCTTCACCATTTCCAAGGCATGACATAACTTCCCGTTAAGTTCCTTCCATCTGCTGAATGTAAAGAATTGGTTTACGTTTTCTCACATGTCCGTTTCGCAGGGTATGCCCTTCAAAATCCAAGCTGTTTCCAAAAGACTGACATAGCAGGGCATGTAGAAAGGACCGACCTGGGGTGCTTCGGTGGAAGCTCTCACCGCGCGTGCTATTAGCGCGGACTGGTCCCCAGCAGTCAGGTGTCACACCTCGGAAACACCTCGATCATCAATGAACCCAGTAACATCTGCGCGCTTGCGCAGCCGCCTGGGTGGAAGGCATGACAATAAATACCCAGTGCATCCCACGCAGTTACCACTATAGTCTTAAGGAACCAAGGATTCTAGGTCTTTTGGTCTTTGGAACTATCTGGTTACCAGCTATAGTGGTAACTGGATGCCCTGGGATAGGGTTCATTTATTGCATCCACGCGACTTAATGTGCAACCCATTGACCCACGCTTGCAATCTATGCGTTGGCACTAGCAACCTGGGACAAACACACCAGTTTAGCTTAGAAGTCCTGTTCTTGTTGATGGCCCTTCCAAGAAGCTCATCCCACCCCCTTCTGTCCAAATCCTGGGCATCCATGCAGGATCCTGCAAGCCTTTCATCGGCTGGAAGAACTTCCGCGTGCCCTGCCACCGCTCGCTCGTTTCATCGCGGTAGCGGTTTCACGCACTCGGCCGGGTCATGGCTGGATGGTCGGTCCCTTAGTCGGCCGCTCGCCCACTCATCAACCGCTCCGAACCGCGTCCGAACCGCCTGGCTGGATCGGCCGAAGCGTTGCACCTGGGCAGGCTGGATCGGTACATCGGTACACAGTGCGGAGTGCGTGAAGGTGGAGTCGTGTGTCTTTTTCCGCCGCGAGGTTGGATTGCGGATAAGACATGATCTTATTGCGAGTTTTTCTTCAGTATTTCGGCCCTTTCGGCTGCTAGGTTTGGAATTATAAGATATTGTAAGACAGCGGGGGAACGTTCAACAATAATTGTTGTTGTTTGCAATGGAAACCTGTTTTGATCGATTCGGGCACAAGTATAGTATCAACATATAAAATATATCAACAAAAAGAGCTTACAACTGCGAGACAGGAGCCCGGAAGGCGACCGCGGGTTTGCTTTCTCCAGTGCTTTGGGGTTGCAAACCCTCTGGGTTTAATTCATCCCTTGTTCTGGAATTCCAGGGATAAAACACATAATTAGTGATGGTCTCACTCCCAAACATAGATTGTCATACATTAGTTTCAATTCGATCATCTGTGCATTGACCGAAACAAGAAGCTCCAATTCCCAGGCCCAACTGTTTCACAAAAGAACGGAGACAAACCCCAGCTTCCCCAATGCAATGATTTCTCCCATCCTTTGATGATAAATACGGTCCAGTATGTAATATATAAATCTATACAAGCGGTGTGACGGTATGACCCTTCAGCTGGCCCATGAAGTTCGAAGCCTTCCAAGCCCAAATTATCCGCGTTTTTTCGAAGTCCCTGCCTCGAGTGTGAGCCTTGCCAACAACAGTGGCTCTGCCTGGGTGCGACCGCGTGCAAGACCCACAAAAAGTCTACCACTGTCAACTTCCACTGGGTTTAAGGATGTAACATCAGAACAAATCTCAACATCAGAACCCGCCAATGTAACCTTCATGTTGATGTTTCTGATTCCTGATGCAGCTCATCTCTGAGCTGTACCAGCAGCCCTGATGAGATTCTTCATCTCGAGCCCCTTCTCTGGTTCAGAATTCCTCTCCACCAATACTGGATTCTTTCGCATCTTGGCAATTGAACATGGCCTCTTCAGCCTGTTCCATCGCCGATGCCGCCAACTCACGCGTTGGGGCCTGTTCCGACCACCTGCGAGCCACGCCTTCGAAGACTCTGTTTTGGGGCAGTTCGAGCGCCAGCTCGCGCGTTCCTTCCAATCGGCTCACCGTTCGCTGGCCGATCAGTCCTCTTGTAAGCAAGTGGATCGAGCCAATCCGTCAACACCCGAAAGGGCATGTATATATTAATTTTATAATATATGTATATATCTATATATGAATCGTAACAGTGTTGGATAGCGTTTGGCTTCCGGAGGACCCTCATGGTCCATGTTGTTTCAACGGTAGTTCTGCGACGGCTTGGCCCACGGGGAACCCGCGGAGAAACATCGACGAGGTCGACGAGGAACTCTCTGGAGGCCGAGTCCGGAGGTGTCCGGCATGCCTTCGTCAAGAATGTCGAGACGTGTAGACTACCAAGATAGCACTAAGAGTGACATGCTTAGATTTATAGAATTTATATAGTATAATCAATATATATGCTTGAAATTATGATCCATTTGCCAAATCTAATCCTATCCAGTGTAGACTACAGCGCGTGGACATGTGTCGATATGTGTTCCTTGCCCATGTTGAACATGTGTCATGTCGCGTCACCAACTCAGCAGCTCGAAGTAGATATCTCAGGCGAGTAGAGAGACATCTCAGTAGTATGTGGATTTGTGCCATGAAATCTCAAGAGAACTTCCCTCCAAACCACCTCCCAAAATCCGATCCGAGGGAGGCAGTCCTAAGATATCACAAATAATCTGGTGAGTCCACTGTCTGGCAAAACACGGGGGCCACGTCCACGGCGCCCTATGATTTTCAGTCTTGACGTCCTTTCAGGTCATCATCTTCCACAGTGCCGGGCCTATGATTTTATGGCCTCATTAGTCAAGAAAGGCGGTCAAACATTAGACTCATTAGACCTGCGGCCTCCAGGGTGACCACGGAAGACCAGGCCCTGACCATCACCATGAGTGGACTGGTGGTCTGCCCACCCACTCGGCCCGCGGAGCGGAGAGCTTCTACGTGGGCATCCGAAGGGAGCAAAACCCAATCATGAAGGTATCTCAGAAATTGTAAACATGTCTGGATTTCTCCATGTCAAAACTCACACTTCTTCATCAGGTACAAGCCTTTTTCATCAACACTGGGGGGGGTCACAACCATTTCGATTTTGGACTGGTTGGGCATTGATATTCACGCCTGATTGTGTGACTTCAGCCTGGAACTGTGCACCTCAGCCCTATCAATTGCTTACCTCGATGACTTTCAAGCTTGGAAACTGCGTTACACTTAAACGTGGCAGCGAACAACCCTTTTCATCCGCTCGAGCCCTGCAGCTTCGATCGAGGGACCGTCGGCGGGGCGGCTCGGTTCCACACAAACCCCCTACGGTCCCGACCGGTCCGCTCGAGTCTGCTGCACATAGCGCCTTTTGCGCTCCGCGGCCTCCTGCCGCAACCGCCTGGCTTCAGCTGTATCCACCAGGCTCCAAAGGCCCTCTCGGAGGACCTGCAAAAGCACTCCGTTGTCGCTCCACTTCGTGAGCCCGTCACTCACCATCTCCTTGCCGGGCATCCACCGGACGAAGTTCTCTGCACCCTCCTCGATCAAGGCCTCGCGGAGGACGGCCGCATCGATGAGGATCTTTCGGTCGCTGGTCATGCTCTCCGAGGCCAGGACGTCGTAGCCGGTCTTGGCATCAATCACCAAGTAATGCTTCCATCGGCTAGCGTACCATTTCCATCGCGGCAGGCTGACGTCAGCATGGACGATCTCGGAGAGGACGGCCCTGACAAAGTCCCCATGCTCAAAGCTCTCCGCGGCCATCGACAGCTCCGCACTCATCGAACACCTCACCACCCGTTGGATCTTCATGCTCTGCGCCTCCACGATGCCCACCGGTGCCTTCTCTTCCAGCACATTGGGGTGTGCCAGCATGCACACAACTCCTCCCTGGGAGTGCCCTTTTGGCTGAGCCGCAAAGGCCGCATCGCTGGCGGAGATCACGATGAGGTCGTTCAGGTCGCATCCCAACTTTGGCAGCTTCACCACCACCTCCTTCTGAGCCCTCTGGATGAGCTTCGCCGTCCATTCCATCGCCTCTCTCTTCCCAGTGGCCACCAGCTGCTGGCAATGAGAGACCCCATAGCTCAGATCATATCTTCCTTGGCGAGCGGCCCAATTTACTTGTCCCAGGATGGAGCCGATCTTCACCCTCTCACGCTCTGTGAGATCACCTTTCTTTGGGTCCCACTCCTCCTTCAGGATCTCCGGGATCTTGGCGATGTAGTCGGCCATCGTGTAGTAGAACTCCAAGGTCTCGGGGTCT